TGCTGAACAGTAGCTGTACAGTGATCAAGCCATTAGCATAGCATGAAGAAAAAACACAGCACATCAGTCACAGACTATACCACAGTAAGTACAGTGTTTTAACCAAGGTTCGTTGAATGATATTCCAGTTGCACAAGTGCACTGCTGGATAAGGTACGCTATATTATATTATATTATATTATATTATATTATATTATATTAGTGTATGAACAGTGCTGTAGTTGTTTAACATCAAAATGTTCGTGTTTGTTTATCACATCATCACATTTGATGAGTCAACTTTCCTTTTGTAGCATTTTAAAAAAAAGAAAACTGGACTCTGGACATCAAAGAAAAATCAAGTCATGTAAAAAACACAAACGTTTCCTACCACGGTCATTTAGTTTGGGTTAGCAAGATTGACAATGCTGAGAAAACCTATAAACTGCACCCCAGCTCCCTCAGTGCATGTCTTCAACCAGCCAGACAAGAATGGTATAAAACAACACAGAAGGTTCATGGATGAAAAAAAACCTTGCCAGACAAAACCGACAATGAACATTGATTTCCCAGAGATGCAACAGGCCAAGTGCAGACAGTGGGTTGAAAAGATACATTTGTGCAAAAGACGATGAACTGGTGAATTGTTTTCACTGTGCTATTAATTTGATCCTGCATAGTTGGATAGGGATGTTTTAGATCTGCTGCTATTCTCCCTCCACTATCATCTACATATTACACCTTGACTTTGAATCTTTTTTTTTCACATAAAGGGCAGATACAGTTCTGCTTGTAATGCCAGTCTAACTGCATGAAGCTAATTACCTCTTTAGAAAGGTAATTAAATGCATTAGCTGACCATCCAATGAAAAGTCACTACTCATGAATCTACAGAACCACACTGTCTTACAGTTATATTACAAATTGTCTTTTAACAATTTTGGTTATGGGGGAGAGGGGAACGACACCAATATGCATGAAAATCTCACAAATAACAGTATTTCTATTTTTTATTTTACAGTAACCTTTTTTATTGTAGGTTCCAAAAGCAATTCATTGATTGTGACTTGAACCTGAAACCGCCTTGCAACTGAGAACAGAATGAGCTGCTTTTGACTCAACAGTCACAAAGAGAAAACCCAATCTAACATCTACATTGAAATGGTAGAACACCTTAATCAATTATAAAAAATTACAGGCAGTGGTGACAAAGGGGTTGATTATGTATTTGCCTCTGTTCCACTAAAATGTTTAAATGAAAAATTGAATAACAAAATAATAGGTTTGCGTAGTCATTATTTTCATTATTTATTTTAATAATAACTGTAACAAAATCACCATAGTTTTACTATTTTGTTTACAATTTTTTTTATTACGACATCAGTAGAAGTCCAACCATATTTATGTTTTAGTAGTTGTGATAGTAATGGTGGCAGTTTGCTGCAGTTTTACCAAAAATGTGGCAACTGCACTATTACAAAACTGTACACATCTAGATCATAACGTTCTGAACTTTCTGCTGCTACTCTTGCACGCATGTCTGAAAATACAATGGAGCCAGAAGCACAGATGTAGTTCTTGAAGTGGGATGTTTCAACCTGAGTAACTGCTTTAATTATTGGATAAATTCATATTTGTGGGCACACGGGGCAGAGGGGTTGGGAGACCATGCCAAAAGGTTGAGGATTCTAGGAAAATAAGTAATACTGTCTGTCCACTACAAGGCTTGCTTTAAGCAGACAAATGATTACAGCCACTAGAGGAGAGAGATGTATACATTAGCAAAACAAAAAATATGAATGTATGTGCATATATTTTGTCTTGTCATGATACCAAGAAACTTCCAGTCTCATGTGCATTTATTAAATGTGTCTGCAATTGAAAATGTAGGATATTAGTGAAACCAATGTTTTGATTGGCATGACTTATTTGCAGTTTTTGCAACACGAAGACCAGGAACAAATCGTGTGCATTTTGGTATGTGGAAAGAAGCGAATCCTCAAGCTACCATCAAGTGCTGCTCAGCTACTGGTGATGGCTGAACCTACTGTAGCTAGGCAGCAGTCTTAAAAGAGACACGGTTCATGAAGAAAACTCATTGCTTCTACAGTAGTTGACACAACATCTATTCATGATATCATTGATGACATGACACAAATATGACTACTTGAAGCATGTAGCCTACATTCAAAGTGCAAATTCCCTTCACCGACACATGGCAAGTGCTGTTCTGAGAAAGAGCCCTTACAGTATGGCCTAGATCTGGTCCTTTACACTGACTCCTGACTAAAAGTCCTTATCAAACAAGCTAAAATCCACACATGGCCAGTGCTTTCGAAGACAAACCTTAAAATGAAATCTCAAATGATTGAGGAGGCCTACTAGACAAAAATGGTATCCGCAAGTTAAGCTGGGTGGGTGTGGAGGAAAGCATCTACGACAAGTCTACATCCAAATTAAATAATGTCATCTCCCGTTAATCCAAAGACAGAGATGACAACAAAAAGCTCTAGGTGAGGACAGACTGGGGAGATCCAGGTCCAGCTGCGGATCAGCTCCGGTCCTTCCTCAGTTCTATTCACTGCCCATGAGCACTCATCTCCCGGCACCCAAGAGCCTGTCCCTTTACTAGAGGGCAGGGTAGGGGCTGGGGCTGATGCAGTAGCTAAGCTAGTGGATACCGTTAACTGTCATGGCAGATGAAATGTTGCAGATCTACAGAGGACAGTCGGGGGAATTGTGGATGGCTGCTGAGCCACCTAAAGCTATTACCATCCGACATGACACACCTGCATATTACAGTCCAATACCAAAGATCATCAACACTCTCCCATCATGCAGCAACTCATCCATTCATGCTCCCATTATCCATCTCTCCTTTCGTTTTTGTGCAGCCGGCATCCTTTTTCCTATGTCTTTTAACCAAGTGTCGTGCACTCACACAAGGTGGCTGCAAATGAAACTTGCCCAGATACACGCACACCGGTGGCATCAATCACCAGCCCTTTAATGGCTAAAGCCAACCCTTAGTTCATCCGCTAGATGGTTTGGAAAGGACTCAGTCACCAAAGGAGGCAGAAGGACGGGGGGTGGGGGGGGTTCATAACAGTAGACTTGGAGGACACTGTTAAAGACAGTAAATTGCGATGTAATGTTTCAATTGGCGGTACAGCCAGCAGCTCCACAGGAGTGAAGCATGGCTCGAACCTGTAAAGCATCTGAATGGCAGTGGCAGAGGAATGGGGACACGAGGCCGGCTGACAGGGGCGAATAACGCAGGGATGGATGGGGTAACATACCGCTACCAGTAAAGCACTGTTGCTTCCCATTCACTACCCTGTCTCTGTTTTACACATAACACAAATGAGGCGCATAACCATACACGGTAGATTTTTAAACCAATGCCGGTCATTTAAACCTTACCTCAGGCGGTGTGTCGAACCAAGTTCCGCGTTGCAGCCATGTTCGGAACCCCTATTTTCCTCTGTCCGCACGAACCGAGCCCCCTCCCCCGGGTCAATCGTTCTTCTTCCACAGCAGCAAATCCAAATGTGATGGTGCAGAAATGTTTGCCAGTTTTGTCTTTAAAAAAATTAATCAAATCCCAAAGTGATTGATTTCCAGGAGAAGGGAAAAACGCGCTAAGTCTCCTGAGCCCAGTGAGCGACTTGTCGATGGTAAGTGATCACCGGCGCAGCAGCAGGAGCAGCACAGTTAGCCGCGCCTGAGGGGAGGTGGGCAGAACTTCAAGCTCAGTCCTCCTCTTCTTCCCCTTTACCACATTCACTTCTTACTCGGTCGGGATTTTCTCCTGCTAACTTCAATTGCAGCACGGACTCACCGGCTGTCTAAGCTTACTCTCTTTCCTAAATAAAATTAATTTAGAGGTAAATGCTAGCATTAGCCCGCTAGCGTTGAGCTAGCATGCTAGCTGTCTAATAAAAGTCTGCCATTGGAATTTGGAGGAAGACGAGTCCGCACTCTGCAGCCTGTTGGGCGGGCAACGGCCGGTCGAGGACCGACGGACAATACAAGTGGACGCTGTAGAGCAATTACACGTCTATTTTTTGCGCGCGCACACACACACACAGACAGTGTAAGCTCAGTGCCGGTCAGCCCCTCCGTGATGGTAATATCGGTCAGAGGAGAGAGGGGCTGCATTGAGAGCGCACTCCCGACACCAGTCAAGTACGGCCCGGCGCGTTCCAGAGAAATTTCCCACAAAATGGCTGCCAAAACAAATCCATCGCGGACAAGTAACATACATGAAGTTTAAAAATTGCAAAACTTAAAATAATTCTTAGTTTTACGGTGGTGGTTTTGGGCAGAACGGGTAAGCTGAGTTAAGTCTGACCCGTTTCCCGGAATTTGGACAGAAATAATCATTATTAAATTAAGATCGAAGTCGAAATCAAAAAAGATTTACGCAGAATGTGGACGTGTAAATACGTATTAAATGAAACCATCAATACTTAATTCTGACCAGTGTATCATATTCGTAACAAATGGGCGTGCTATGCCATTGTATAATTTAAGAATGCCAATTCTCATTTCATTAAAATGTATTTCTTAAAACTAAGAACTTGACTCTTTTCTCTTCTGAAATTAAGTTTAACAACTTTATACCCTGTTAATAAAATAATCAAGGTCCCATAACCATGCAAATACTGTACAACTATTGACCTTTTGATTGGCTGACTCAGAAATGCCTAAAAAGGTTTATCATAAGATGAACAATCATTTACCTGCTAAAATTTTGTCCATAAAATGTAAACCCCATTACTTGGTCCTACCAGCCTTTTGAAATACAATTCTTGAAACCAAAAATTATAATCAAAAATCAAACATTTTATTAAAACAAAGTTGTTGGTTTTGTCAAAACATGTCAAGTTGTTGTAATAAATCTACAACTTTTCTGCATAATACTCTGCCAACACAAAAGTTATACCAGTATCATATTACAAGTCTGAGTGAAAAAGTCACTTTCTATATTTGTACACAGACACGCAGGGTCAGTTTACCACCTCACCACCAAACGGATCAGCATTCAGGCTTCTTTGCCTACAAGGCCAGAGTGTGTGGCAATATGAAGCTCTCCACATGCACTGCCCTTAGAACACTTTAACCATACAGAAGTTCAAAATGATATCTTACAAAGTCATACCAGTCATACATGGTACATAAACGTGAATAACTCAAGATTTACCAGTTACCAGGACAAGGAAACGAAAGACAGAAAGAAATTGTAAAGACAATGACCTGATCACAGATATGAAATGGGATCAAACATGTGGAACATCCAAAATATCTTAACTTCCTACAGCAGATACAAAATTCATTTCAGTTGAGTTCAAGTTCAGTTGACATTTTTCAGGCTATGAAGGCAACTAGTTATCTGGACAAAGTTTGTGAAGACAGAGAAGAAAAGCTAATTTAGTTTAATAGACTTAATTAAACCCCACTTTAAGAATGTGCAACCAAATTAAAGTTTAAACTTTTCATAAAGGACTTGCACTACCAACACTTTCTTCACTTGCCAAAAACCTCTTACTTATCAGTGTGAAGATTTAATTGTAAAATTTTCTAAAGGCTAAAATAACCTAATAAAGTAACCTCCTTGCCCTGAGTGCTAGTCAGGTTTGTAAGCTGCAGAAGTGTAACGAGTGGAAGTAAAGCGCAGAGTAGGAAAGACAATAGAACACAAAGTAGAAGGTAGGTGAAATGGTAAATTCATCCTCTCCGTGACTTCCTTTACTCTTCATTTCTTCTGTTTAGGTGGAGGTCTGGGTGAAAACAAAGGAAAAATTATTAAAGACCAGGCACAAGACAAAGTTGCCTGACCAAGATTAAATAAACATTTGCAAAAAAAACAAAATCAATTAAAAAAGGTTTAATTTAATAGCAAACTAATTTAATTAACAGCAAACAGGAATGTAATGAATTTAAGTGGGAGCCCTGTGAGGGTCATGTCCATTTGAAAATTTTGTAATTGTAAAACTGTTTAGCCATTGAATAATGCAAATTGTGATTTTGGTTTTAAAACTACACAATGAGAGATCCCAAATGTGCATATTTAGGTGATAGTTTTGAGGTCTGTCATCCAAACTCATCTGTATTATTTTGACACTTCTTTCAATGGTTTATGATTTATTTACATGTGACATTTTCAATATTCTAAGATGGGAAAGATAACTGTTATGCATTGTTGCTCCTAATTAAACCGAATGCCCAAGAAAGCGACACTGGTGTCCTTTAACTGTACTTCCAATATCAATTAAGTCTTTAGCACGTATGGTAAAAAGTTACTCAAATGATCCACCAGAGGGAGCCAAATACAGCACTTATGTGATTTAAGATTGACAAATTATGCATTTCATCTACATCTGTTACTTTACGAAATCCAATGTAATGCATTTGTTACCTGTAAATTCCCACCACCACAGCGTGGTCTCTTTCATACGGCTCCAGTGTGAGCTGCTCCTGTGGTTTCATGTTCTCAGCACTCATCTTCTTCACCTCTGATGCAAACACTGCCTCTGGAGCTGCTGTTGAGTCTATGCAGTTGGCCTAAAGTCAAAGAATAAGAAACAGAGCTGAGGAATAATTCTCCTTTAGGTAAAATGTTTCCTATTTTTAATGTTTCAACAATGTAGTGTACTTAAAAGTACACTTTGAATCTACCTTAATGGAAATAACAAAATGCCCTCCATTCTTCAGGAAGTTGTGGGCATTCAATGCGACAATTCTTGTCTGGTCAGGCTGGGCAACATCAGCAAAAATGACATCTACCATACCTAATAAAGACAGTTAAAAGCTCAACAGTGTGCAAAACAAAAAATAAAGTACATGCAACTGATGGACTGAGTTTCTTTCCACTGCCTACACATTAAGTGAAATGAAGCAATATTTTAAGTTCACCAGATCTTCACAGCTCAGATTAGAGGATACCTACCAACCAGCATGCGGTATTTGTGTGGGTGGCGTGCATCTTCAATGATGGGAATGATGTTGGTGCGCTTCTTTGCTACATTAAGAAGGTCACGACCCGATCGATGGGAAAACTCCACAGCGTAAACTAATCCTTCCTAAGAAAGATAAAGCAGATTGCCTCATCATTTGCATTTGCTTTGCATTGTTACATTTGCTTCACAAAACGTTTCTCTGCACTAGTCTTATGATAAGTGGTAAAGCCTGCCCCCTGCTGGTAAAAAGTTTAATTATGCAGAATATTGGTTTCCATGGAACCTCGACATTGATGCTGGTTCATACATTCCTATTTTTTGAAATATTAAGAGTGATTAACTAGTTGGCAAAAACATTTACAGTCCTACTCTTTACTCACCGGTCCTACAATGTCAGAGACGTGTGACACTGTGGTTCCAGAGGCAGCCCCTAGGTACATGACCTTTACCCCAGGTTTGATATGAATCTGGTCTACTCCTCCAAGGATGGCTGCTGCCAGTTTTGAGCGGAATGGATTCCAGGCTCTGTATTCAATTTTTGTCTCCCCTTCCTGAAAAACAACAAAGATGAAGTCCTTGTTATTGACTCTTCCAAAGCTCACAATACTATTCAAATTAGATTTATGAATTATGAATTTAGATTTTTATAATTCATCCAAAAGACCTTGAACATGGCAACAGTGGTTAGAAAATAATGGGGATAACTTGACCAGTCTGCCATTCAAACTTTACCTCCACACTGATCCTCTTCTCCCCGTACACTGACTCTCCAACCACCATGTTTTTGGTTACAAGGGCATCTTCCTTCCCTCTGCAGATAAATACTCCTGAATACACAAGCAGATATACAGTCAACACGTTAACAAACACACCAAGTCCACTGTCCAGCCAACAATACTACAGGTTAACACAAGTTGTGATGTTGCTGATGGGACATAGAAAAGAATATATATAAACTGTATCATAAGCTGGTCTGTGTGTGCTGTACTGTACTGTGGACTACTTGCTTAAATACACACATTTGGCCATTGGAATCTAATTGCCATGAATAGCCTTCCCTGTTGATTATCACGTTGGACTGGAATCCTCGAAATAAAAATGGCTGAATGTCATGGATACAAGAGAAATATACACCTTCGTGTCTGTGGGGCTCCACCAACACCTTCCTTCCTGCACCAAAGCCTCCCCTGCCGCCACCTCTTCCTCTTGGTGTCCCTCTTCCACCACCTCTACCGCGAAATCCGCCTCCGCCGCCACCTCTGCCACGAAATCCTCCTCCACCCTCTGGCGACCTGAATCCACCTGAGAACCAAGATATTTTCTTAAAACCTTTATAAAATACATTTGGTAGAAAATGTGTTTAACGGTTAAACTTTAAGCATTACCATCCAGTCATTAAGCTCCTTTCTTACCTCTCCCTCCTCCGAATCCACCACGTCCTCCTCTACCTCCACCTCGTCCACCACGATCTCCACGAGGAGTGAATCCTACACAAAAAAATAAAAATAAATGTCTAAAAACTTTCTCTGGTAAGGTGCACTGGGAGGCAAGACGCTGTGATAGTTTTATGATAACATTTGCTGAACAGTAGATCTAGGACCAATAATAGGTGATGACAACATTTGCATTGTGTTAGTGTAATTAAGTCTTTGTTTTCAAGTCCCTATAATTAGCAGCCACAACAATGACAACTTTTATTTTTCAGTTTTAGAATGAATATGCCCTTAAATATGACCTAAATTAAAGCCACTGCTGGATCACCTGCAGACATCCACGACACCTGGAAATGGGAGGTGGGACTATTAACCTGTCTCCTCTGAGCTGAGCTCAGCCAGGGTGGTCGTGTTAACACTCCACTTGGCCTCTTTTGTTTTGTTTTTTTTCTTTTCATTGCTTTGCAGCTTTAATTTGTAAAACTACTACCAAATGAGATTTAGTATCAATTGGTAACCAATTCCACAAAGAAGACCGATCACTTGCTAAAAATTATGCGTTTGAATCAAATATTCGAGATATCAAAATGTTTTGATGATTATCACAAGAAAAAACTCCTATACTATCCTAAATAAGCACTTGTGACCCTCTGTCGTCGACGGTTCCAAAATACACATGGTATACCCAGCAGCTTCCGAAAAAACTCGCTTAATTTGATGGGGTTTTCTTATTAAACTAAGTTTAACTTCGGAAATAAGAACTTCGCTGCATTGCGGAAAAACTTTGAGATACATCATGTAAATACCAACATAAGCGCTAAAACCCGGGTTCTTCCAGAGACCCAGGAGTTTGTTGAGTGTTGCTTCGTGATCAATGCCGTGTAAACGTGTGGAAGTCAACACGTGTAAAGACCGTGTGCGCCAAATACGTTTATCAAATCATTCCATTCCAACAATACCGTGTAACACCAACAATACTAACCCGGCCCGGAGACGTACGTTGCCCACATGCGTTTTATAAAGTATCAAGAAATTCTACAAAACACAAACTTTTGGCAGCATGTGGAAAGTTCATTAGGAGAATACGGGAGCAACATGGCGGTGTAGGCCTCAAAGTCTTTTCAAGTCTCTGCTTAAAAACATAGCCTAGTGTCGTCGGTCGTAGCCGTCAACCACTGTGTCTAACGTTTATAGAATAAGGAAATGAATACTGTACCTGGCCTCATATTGTCAGATATGAAACGTTAGAAATGTTCCCTCTGCTTGTCCTGCTTGTGCCTGACGTGCTTCTCTTTACACACACTCACACACGGACTGAGCAGTGACCACATGTGCACCAGCTTATTCTCTTGTTCCTGTCTGCGCAAAGGCGCATTACCGCCGCCTACTGGATCGGAGTGTAGAGCAGCCAATTACCATCCATCTATTGATCTTATTAAGGGCTGCATTCCTCAGTCTGTGCAGGCTATCTAGAATCAGACCTATTCGTCTGCATACCATCGGAAGACCACTATTATTAAATGGGGAGGATTTTTATTATAAAAATTATGAACATTGTCACTTGCAATACTACAACAAATGGCATACTTTGTTCCAAAACGTTTTAAAAAGAGTGAAAAAGTGAATAAATAACACACTAATCACTAAAAATGTTGCCAAGCTCTTAAAAACAGAACATTTATTGATGTCATTGCCAGTCAACTGGTGTATGTACAACAACAATCAACAAGATTTTTAAAAATCACAAATTTATCACAAATCTTGGCTGTGAACTTAAAATCCTTAAATCTCCAAATCTCCATGTCTAAGATTCATGATTTGGAAGACTGCAAATGACAGGCACACTGAACTGCATTTGTCTGATTCTTTTTTGTTTCACACAAAAAAAGAAAATCAAACACTTATCATTTCCCAACCTGATTGAGGAATCAATGTGTTAAGTGCACAACTGCATCATCAGGAGAGTTGCAATTTCTCCTACTTTTGTGCTATTTCACTAACACCCCCCTGCTGTAACCAACCTGCCTGTCATGACTTCTTGTCATCTGATGAAAGCAATAAAAGTCAAATTGATGGTGACATCATCAGACAACACAGACAAAGGACAGTGAAGCCAAACTGCAGATGCACACTGTATAAAGAAGCAGAAAAGGAAATCAGTAATTCAACGCAATGGATTTTAACTGCCATAAAACACACAACAAAACAACTATCATTTTGGATGATTACTAAGGAAGTAATGACACGTACCAAATACCACATATTATTAATCCATGCTATTAACTCATGGATGCCAACTGCACCAAGATAACTTGCTAACAGGCACAAATACCATCCAATAATAAAGAGTATGAGGTGATCCAAAAAAGGAATGTGTCATTATGGATGGCAACTGCTGTAAAACACCAGAAAAGAAACACTGACTGCTTTAAAGACACCATCATTACTAAATTTCGCTTTTGTGACTCCAGAATTAGCATTCCTCTTTGCTTCTTTCACTGTTCAGTAACATGTCATGAATGTGAAAATGGATGGAAATCTAAGCAGACGAGATGGTTATGTGCCACTTTTGGAGTCAAACGGTTATACAGTGAAGAAGCTGCTAGGGATTGGAGCTTTTGGTCATGTGTACGAGTGCATGAAATTGGACACCACAGACACAGTGGCTATTAAGGTTATACCAAGGTATCAAGCAGAGTTTGGTCAAGAAGAGGTGCACAACCATGAACAACTCCGAGCCTTTGACCCAGACCTCAACAACTTCATCCGGTTTAACAGGCATTTTGGGCTCAGTGGACATGTTTTTCTGGAATTTGAAAGACTTGACATGACTGTTCTGGATCTTTTTGAGAGCTCTGTAAGACCATTCCATTTGTCTGAAATTCAGGTGATCACACAACAGATCCTGGTGGCTCTGAACATTCTCAGGAGCTTAGGAATGATACACAGAGACATCAAGTTAGACAATATAATGTTAATCAATCATCGGCTACATCCTTTAAGGGTGAAGCTAATTGACTTTGGTTTGGCATGTAAAGTTAAAGAACTGTCCATTGGTGAAATCTTGTACATTCCCGAGCACCGGGCGCCTGAAGTGTACCTGGGCCTTCCCCTGAATGAGGCTGTGGACATGTGGGCTCTTGGCTGTGTTATGGTCAGCATGTACATCAACAATAACTTGTTTTCAGGAAAATGTGAGCTGGGAACAATGGAGGAAATTGTGCAGTTGCTTGGTCATCCTGATGATCACTTGCTGAACACTGGAGTTTATACTCGTAAATATTTTTATAAAGACAAAGACTCATGGAAGATGAAAACAGAGTGCAGCTGTTCAACAGGGAACAGCTCATTGAGCTCTGTCAGCAGCAGCGAGATGACCCCAGTTCATGAGCCGCTAAACAGCATCTCTTCCAAATCATTTTCCAGTCTTAGCGACATTGTGCTGACTCGACCAGGCACTGCCGGATGTGAGGACACACAGACCTTTATAATCTTCCTGACAGAGATTCTACAAGTAGATCCAAGAAAAAGAATTAATTCAAGTGAAGCTCTAAGTCATCCTTTTTTCACCATGAAGCAGTTTCCCAGTGAGTTTGTCAACAGCAGGTCATCAGATCATGGAAAAAATGCTACTACCGCTAATGAAAAGCCAGCACCTACTTCTCGGTCGGATACAGCAGCTACTCTCATAGACAGAACGGCTGCCATCAAAGACAACAGGCCAAAAAGCCTGTGCGTTCTGGCTAACATGGACGATGATGCTTTGGATGAGATTTCACTGACATCGAGTCATGATTCTGATGTGGATAAAAGTAGCAATGAGGAAAGAAGCAGAGGTCCGAGAGGGAAGGTCAAAAGTAACTTTTTTAAAAGGATTCACACATTTGTCTCAAGACTGTTTAAGAAGGGGGCTTCAAGTAGTCACACAGGGGGTTCAGTAGATCAGGAAGAAAAATTTGCTCCAAGTATTGATAAACCACAACCCACAGCTATCATAGATGAAGCCATTACCCTTTGCACAAACAATGAACTCATTGGCACGGCGGAAACCGCAGCTTCTGGCACTGGAAACGGATCGCAGGAAAAAAAATATGCAGATGATTTCATGGTTGATAACACTTCACTCGCTACAGTAAGTCTTGTTTCTGATGACAGCAAAATGAGCACCGATGACGCAACCACCACTTCGAGAGTTAGAGCCAAAAAACGTTTCTTTGACAGAATTCAAAGATTAGTTTCAAAGCTGTTTAACAGAGTAGATTCCACTGAAATGGTGAGTAACTCATTAGACTGTGCAGAAACTGCAGCTACAAGCGCTGCTCTGCTACCATCGTCCACAGGGACCATGGAGGAAGCAATTGTAATTTGTACAAACAGTGGAATCAATGCATCGCCCTCTCCTGTAGCTCTCAAATCCAGAGCTGGAACTCCTGTCTGACTCTGGTTTTTGAAATTCAAACAATTCCAAATTCCCTGTGTTCAGAGACATTGCCTCACAGACATTCTTTGTCCATGCCTCCGCTTGGCCTGTTGAAAGAGTAGTTAGTAATTAACATGTTTGATGAGGCCTTACACTGGAAAGCTGACTTGTCCATCTATGTCAGATCTTTTGTTTATGAAATACAACATAAAAGCTTTTCACTAGTCCTGCCAGCCTTCCGTCAAACAATGTCAATGTCTTTTGTGAACTGACACTGCTGTTTCCTCTTCCACTAAAGTTATCACTTTGACCACATTTCGTTTAACATGAGAAGCAAAACTCAACGGATGGACTTAGATGAAGTTCTGTAAGGATGTAGATTATCACCCAGAGAAGAAATTGTTAGTTTGGTGGTGGTCAGGACATATTTGTATCTGAAGAGAACAGGTGTTACTGATGCAAGCTTACAGGAAGAAGGGGACATTTGTATGTTTGCATCCTGTTTCACTAATTTGTTATACTTATAGTAAAGGGCCTTTATAATGGTGAAAGCATTTGTCAGTTATTTGTTTTGTAGAATTGGCCACAGTGTTTAAAAAATATTTGTCTTTGTTACCTTAATTCCTGTCTTCCACAACACTGACAAAAGCTGGTAAGTGACATACTGTACTAATTACAGACCCATCAATGAATCACGCTTTGATTTTAATCATAAGTGACAGGTCTTTTTTTGGTAAGGGTCATTAGACTCTATATGTCATCATGTTGTAAAAGGTATCTAAAAATTAGTCACAAAACAAGGAAAACACTGTTAACGTCACTATGCTTTGCCAGTCATGCCATGGCAGTTATGAAAGCAACATCAACAAATTCAGCGCCAGAAGTCTGAGGTATTCAGGGCTGGCTCAGGTGAACCAGAGTTATCCCTTAGAATTTCTGCTGTGGGCCCTGAACTGCCCATGTTGCATGGAGCACCCTCTACATAAAAGAAACACATGCATATTCTTGTCTTCTCTTTTTTCCAATAGTTTGTGCCCTTTTTCTCTCTCCTTGTTACTGACATCACCTTATATGTTTGTGTGACCAAAGAACTGCTGGGCGTAATCTATATCTAATACCACTGACATTATTAATATAGTTTTTATAATTATTAAAATCTAACTCAGTTTGACTACTTGTAACTTTATATATATATATATATATGTGTGTGTGTGTGTATATAAATATATATATATATATATATATACACACACACACATATATATATATATATATATAAATATATATATATATATATATATATTTATATATATATATATATATATGTGTGTGTGTGTGTATATATATATATATATATATATTTATATACACACACACACACATATATATATATATATATATAAATATATATATATATATATATATATTTATATATAAAAGATGTAGCCTTTGTATATATACAATGAGGCAAGAGTACTAACAACCCTTCAATCATATGACTCTAGAACATATGTAAGTCTTCCTTTACTGATTAGGATAATCACATTTTCACCTTATGTAAAATATAAAAAACAAATATGGCAAAACTGCTGAAAGTTGGCACAGGAGCAGCTACATAAGTGTACAAAATAGGTAGAAGTTAAAAACCTGCCCCCTCAAATAAATAAAGTTATAAATGAGTTAAATGCCCCCCTCCCCCCAAACAGATGTTTATACAACGTGAATTTTGTTTTGTAGTTCACGTTAGGAACGTTGTAGTTCAGCCACGGCATCCTACGTCGTCTACTACGTAGTTATTTGTTAGCGCACTCTTTTCGCACAATTTTCATTTAACAGTTGCCGTTTTGTTTAGGTTGTTATTACTGACCAATTTCGCCTTTCCTTAGGAGACATGTTTTATGTCATTTTTTAAACGTTGTGTATTGTGTGATTTACGTGAAACGCCCTTGCAGCATCGCGAGACTTCCTGCACTGTGCCGGAAACCCGCAGCAAGAAGAAGACACGTCACTGAGGTCAGACGGGAGGAAAGATGGCGAGCACCTATGCCAGTTTTAACTTGTAAGTGTAAACAACACGAATACCTGGTGTTTTTAAACGGTTTGAGCTAAATGTAAGGCAGAGAGTGTAAGTGTTTATAGACCCTGACAGGCTAATGCCAGTGCAACTATGATCATTCTATATATGCTTAGCATCGTGCTACTGCAAACACACTCGATACCTGAGAGTCACAGACAGACTGACTGATCGAAAACAAGTTTTTCTGTCTAAACGCGTTTTTAATGTGACAATAAAAGTCACTGTTGGTCTTCACCACCACTAGCTGCTGTTTCATCTTACATCAGCAGCAACAGTTCACATGGTCGTCTGTCTTATCTGTCTCCACCTGTTTATAAGCCAGGTGGAGGCTTTATCATTTTGTGCTGGGGACTTTGTTGTTAATCCGAGTCACTGTTAAATTCTGGTTATTATTACTTTATAGGCGTTTAGTAGTGGTTTTAAATATTTTAGCTGGTGTTTTATGGTTCACATTGGTTTGTAGCTGCTATCATGCTTGGTAAGGAAACTGTGAAATTGCATAAAAACACCTTTGAACACCTTTTGTCTTCTTCTCACCAGGCATACCACACCAGAGAGGTTTTACATAGAGGCCTGTGATGACGACTCAGGCGATGTCTTGGCCATTGACAGGGTGTCAACTGAGATGACACTCACAGGTAAGCTGTGCTTTCAGCTAAAACATTTAAGATAAAAAAAAAATAAAACCACGTGTACCATTTGACTTATAACTGGGACTGTTAAATGATTACAATTTTTTAAATTAGATTAATCCCTACATAGGTGGTGATTAATAACATTAATCATAATTATTTGAGATAATCAACATTGATTTTAGTAATTCCTAATAATAAATAATAATTTATCACAAATTAGCACGGTTAAAGCATTACTTGACTGCCCTAGTTGTAACAAAATGGCAACTAAGAAACATGTGAGCTCCAAATTTCTTATAAGATCATGAACAGACTTCTGTTGTCCCCTAAGTGAGGAGGGACATCCCTGCATCTGCCGAGACCAGACCAATATGTGGGCTCATGGGGACCATACGCTTGGTGGCAGGTCAGTATAATTAAGGCATGACTGATGTGACTGTGAAAGAATAGCAAAACAAAAATAAATTCATATCAGTATTATCATGATAACACGTCTAAAATAATGGAGGTTGTAGTGAGTTTTGTCTGTGTTTTTTAAATGTGTATAATATCTCATCTTTCTTCAAACATGAACATTTTTTAATGGTTTACAGTATATCACAAAGTGTATTTAAATAATCCAGTGACATGTTATATTTCTACAAAATAACATTTTATTCAGGTGTGTATTGTCTTTTGTTTGTTGGTTCCTCAGTGTGTGGAAAGATTGTACTCTGTGTTGTAGTCTCCCAAAACTTGTTGAACAAAATGTTGGAACTATGAAATGTTAGAAAATGTCAACGTAAGCATGGTGTTGTGTTAATTAAACTGTTTATGTTAGGCATGTACCTGATTGTCATCACCAAGAAGCAGAAAGTGGGAGATTTGTTGGGCCATGCTGTGTGGAAGGCTCTAGACTTTGACATAATTTCCTATAAGAAGACAATTCTGCACCTGAGAGACAGCCAGGTAATTAGTGGACTATGGTTGGACCCCTGACAAGTCCAAACCTTTCAAAAGAAAATCATGTCTTAATGTCTTATCTTTTACTCCACACCACCATTCCTTATTACGTCCTCTGCTTCAGATGCAAGACAACAAGACCTTCCTGTCAATGATAAAGAATGTCCTCCAGACTGATGGGTTCTACTTTGCCACAGACTACGATTTGACCCACACCCTGCAGCGCCTGGCCAACACCAGCCCTGAGTTTCAGGAGATGAGCCTACTGGAGAGGGTTAGACATTTACAGTCACTTAACATGGGATCAATTCCTACTGGGGACTTATCATTTCCTATTTATAAAATTAAATTCCAGTTTTATTCATAAACCTGAAATAGTATTTTTCTAAAGTTTCAATGTAATGATGTAGTGAAAGTGAAGAAAATATGAAAACATGACTTTTATATGATAGCTTTATCTAGAATGTTTGTAAATGTTCTCTGTTTCAGGCGGATCAGCGTTTTGTGTGGAACGGCCACCTCCTAAGGGAATTTATTGCTCAGCCAGAGGTGAGTTAAGTTGAGTCTAGTTTACTAAAATAGGCTTCTAAGGGGAATTTATAATGGGTGTCAGGAACGGTTCTTAAGAAATAATTTCTCCCAGTTAACAGATGGTGGTGCTAAAGCCACATCCAATTGCCATTTAAATACTGCAAATGAGTGCCAGTAATGGTTAACAATCACAGCAGTAGCAAAAAGATTCTGTGTAGAGTTCCATTTATCTGGGATAAATTTAGAACAATTCTCTGATTTTCACTAGATTTTTTTAATTACTTTTTTTTTTTTTCATTTTTATTTTAGTATTGTATGAGACTACCCTAATGACACTTAACCTTCAATCAATGTATCACTGCTCTCATTTTACAGTTACACAAGTTTGTGTATCCTGTTGTCCACGGCTGTATCCTTCTTCTTTGTTGTCTGGATGCCAAATGTTGTGACAATCAGTGAATGAGTATAAGGCCTTTTAATAACCCCGTGTTATCAAGTTCTAGATAAGGTGTCTTATTCCATCAGATTTGTATGACTTTATTTTTAGTTTAATGATGTTTATAATGTCATATGAGCTTCTGACTGACAAATGTGAGTAGAAGCATTTAGAGAATCTGTTGACTGCAAACCTTCTTATGTCGAGCATTAGATAAAAAAGAATTCCAGTTTTCAATCCATACAATGAATTACAAAAAAAGTGTATAAGATATTCAGCACTGATTTATGTAAGGACTGTTGGTTACCTTAACACACTTGTTGACCAGTCATCATCATGAAGTCAAGCTTTATCAATGGTAAGACGTTTGATTGGAGTATCATCTCCAGGAGGAGCTGCTTCAGAGCCGGTGTCCGTTACTACGTTCGAGGTAATGCCGTCCTCCTCGTCTCTGTCCACAGCTTTGTCTTCAGTTTAACTGAAAAAGAAAATACGAGTGAACACAGAATATTTAGTTAAACCTATAAGTAAACCTATAACAAATAAGTTATTACCCAGTAGTTGGAAGATCAAGTCTAATGCAGTACTTTGTGTCTCTGCCATCAGGAATCGATTCCGAGGGCCACGCTGCTAACTATGTGGAAACAGAGCAGATAGTGCAGTACAACAGTGCCAAGGCTTCGTTTGTTCAGGTGAGTCACACATGTCCTGGAGACTGTTGTTCATCACTGAGGACATGCAGTTTGGTTTGGTTTCAAGTAACTTCATATTTTTGGTTTCTCTTCTTTTATGGTTTAGACAAGAGGGTCCATCCCATTCTACTGGTCTCAGAGGCCAAATCTCAAGTACAAGCCTAAACCACAGATCAACAAGTCAGTCAACCATGTAAGTGGACACTAACACTCACATGGGTTTAGATCAGTGTCTCTCAACATTTTTTACAAAAACATCAAAAGTAACAAAAATTAAGAAGAAGAAGAAGATATTTATGATTTTATTTCTCTCCATTTGTGATGCGGTCTCTTCTGGGATGGCAGTTGGATGGATTCCAGAGACACTTTGACTCCCAGATTATTCTTTATGGAAGACAAGTGATTTTGAACTTGGTAAGACGGCCTTCATAATGTGTTTAGAGATAAATGTCACAACTGGCGGTGCTTTCATTGTATGCGATGAGCAACCCCACTAGATATGGAATAAAAACACTTCACACGAAGGAAATGATTACACATGTTGTTTGTTGTCTTTTCATCAGATAAAAACAATAACTTCTTATCGTGTCCTTTTTGACAGATTAACCAGAAGGGTTCAGAAAAGCCCTTGGAGCTGGCGTTTGACAAGATGGTGACCAGCCTGGGTAACGGCATGATCAAGTAAGATTTATAGTCATAGCATTCTTCTTTTATCAATTTACATTTACATACAATTTACGTCATTTTTTTGTTCTGCTTTAATTATAAATGTGGTCATTTGATTTCTTTTTTTTTTCCATCTGTGTAGATATGTAGCCTTTGACTTTCATAAGGAGTGCAGTCGGATGAGGTGGCACCGCCTGCAACTACTGATGGACTTGGTCGCTGATATGCAGGATGATTTTGGGTCAGTTTACTTCAAACATTTAGGCTGCACTTTTATAAATTGACACATGAAAAAAAACCATTAACTCTACATACCATTTATGTATGTGTGTGTGTGTATATATGTATATACACACACACACACACACACAGTAGATTTATTATTGAGTGTGTTTGTGTGCAGGTACTTCCTGGTGGATGCAGATGGGAACATTTTGTCAAATCAGGAAGGAACATTCCGCAGCAACTGCATGGACTGCCTGGACCGGACCAATGTGATCCAAAGTCTGTTGGCCCGGCGATCGCTGCAGTCACAGTTACAGGTAACGGCCTCTGGTCCTGCCATGAGTGAACCTGAAAGAAAAGATGGAGGAAGAACATATCATACATACATTGGTAGCAGTAGTTTAATTTGAAGACTTGAATTGTCTATGGCTGCAGAGGATGGGTGTCCTGCACATGGGTCAGCGAATAGAGGAGCAGTTGGACTTTGAGAAGATGTACAAAAGCGGTGGGTATTTATTTCTCCGGTAGTTGCAGTCTTTTATAATACGCAGCCTGTTGATTTCTTAAAAATTCTAAATATTTCTTTGCCTTTTTGTTCTAACACAGCGTGGGCGGACAACGCTGATGCGTGTGCCAAACAGTACGCTGGGACTGGTGCCTTGAAGACAGACTTCACTCGGTGAGTTTTCACACTGCCAACAAGTCGATTTGAGTTGAGTTATTGAAACAGAGACAATGCTTTGAGAAGTAACCTTACTGTAATAAAAACATATTTATCTTAACATTTCAGGACAGGAAAGAGAACTCAGTGGGGTCTGATAATGGACGGCTGGAACTCCATGATCCGATATTACAAGAACAACTTCTCTGATGGGTTTAGACAGGTGGGCTCAACCTCACACAACTCCAGTATTACATGAACATGTTCTACTGACTGCTCTTTACTGAGGTTATTTAGTAGGTCACTACTTTTTTTTTCTGTGAAACTTCAAGGTCAACAGTGAACTAAATGTTTGAACAACGTGTAACAGGTGTATCAGATCCGATCTGACTCTTACGCACTTCATTGAGCTTTTTATTGATTTTATATTGTTTTGTATTTTGCTTTTTATGCGATAGTACGTAATCACAACCCTTGTTACTATTGTTTTATAACTGCATAAAACACACCGTCAGTTAAAGTTGTTAAATTAACAATCGGAGCAGCAATCAGGATGTTGGCTCTGAGGGGAGTCCTGCTAATCTCCAGGTCCAGGGACTACAGTCTACAGTCAGTAGAAATGCTGAGATGTTCTTTATCATGTTTTCTTAGTCAAATAAATCTGAAATGTATAGTTTTTTTTTAAAAAATCACTTCAACTTCTACATTAGATGAAAAACAAATATTTGACCACTGCATATTAATGCTATTGTAGAAATTGAACAAATAGATTAAGGTTAAACAGTCAATTGGTTTCCACTTAAGTCTGACTTTTAAAACAGGATTCCATTGATCTGTTCCTGGGTAACTATGCTGTGGAGGAAACTGATTGGACAGCTCAACTGTGTGACTCCAAAGACTGGAAGTTCCTGACGGTAAGTAAAATCCTACATGTGTTAGCCCTTTACTGTTTACACTCTTTTATATCATATTGTTTAATGGTTAAATAGGTAAATAAAAATAATATCAATAATGTTGTCTTTTTTTGGTGTCTAGTTACCCATCATCATGGTGGTGGCTTTCTCCATGTGTATTATCTGCCTGTTAATGGCTGGTAAGATGGACTTCATTTTTTTTGTAAATTCTGCCATGATTGACATTTAATGAAGAACGTCTACATGTTCTTCCTGCTCATGTTGCATGTGACCTTCTGTTATTTCTCAGGCGACACATGGACGGAGACACTGGCCTACGTTCTGTTCTGGGGTTCAGCCAGCGTAGCGACTTTTGTCCTGATCATGTACAACGGGCGTGACTTTGTAGATGCTCCTAAGTTGGTTCAAAAGGAGAAGCTGGACTGAATGTGTGTGTGTGGAAAGCAGCTCGGCCCTGGCGAGCTCACCGCCTCATCCACCGGCTCTTCATCATCACTTTGCCCCCAGCAGCCGCAGCATCACCACCACCATCCGCCGCAGCAGGCATG